CTTTCCCCCTCTCTCCTGCTCCATCTCCCAGCCCAGCCTGGCCCCCGGCTGCAGGACAACCCCGCTGCCGACGCCGTCCTGCCGGGGACGCGCTGGGGGGATCTCCTTCCCCTTCCCTCTGGCACGGAGGCAAATCCCATCCTCTCCTTGTCCTTCCTCCCCCAGACAAGGGGCTGAGGATGGAGAGCAGGGAGGACAAATCCCCACGGCAGAACCTCGTGGAAGAGGCCGTTTTGAGCAGCTCCATGGCTCAGGAATCCAACAGGGAGGAAAATCCCCAGAGATCCTGCAGGAGGAGGGGCTCCAAACCCATCCCAGGGTGCTCTGAGGAGGAAAGACCCACCCTGTGCCGGGAAGGCGGCCGGAGATCCAGCCAGGGCTCTGAGCTGGTGGTCCATGAGCAGCTTCAGGATGGGGAGAAGCCCTACAAGTGCTTGGAGTGTGGGAAGAGCTTCAGCCTGAGCAACAAACTGATCTGCCACCAGATGATCCACACTGGGGAATGGGCCTACGAGTGTGGGGAGTGTGGGAAGGGCTTCAGCTGCAGCTCCGAACTCATCATCCACCAGCGCATCCACACTGGGGAGAGGCCCTATGAGTGTCTCGAGTGTGGGAAGAGGTTTCGGATCAGCTCCCATCTCCTCAGGCACCAGCGGATTCACACGGATGAGAGGCCCTTCTGCTGCCCTGACTGTGGGGAGGGCTTCAAGCACAACTCCCACCTTGTTAGGCACCGGCACATCCACACTGGGGAGAGGCCCTATGAGTGTCCCGAGTGTGGGAAGAGGTTTCAGACCAGCTCAAATCTCCTCCAGCACCAGCGGATTCACACGGATGAGAGGCCCTTCCGCTGCCCTGACTGCAGGAAGGGCTTCAAACACAACTCCCACCTCATCAGGCACCGGCGCATCCACACTGGGGAGAGGCCCTACGAGTGTCCCCAGTGTGGGAAGAGCTTCTCCAGGAGCTCTCACTTGGCCAGACACCAACAGAGGCACCGGTAAGGGAAGCCCTGTGAGTGCCCCAAGTGCAGGAGGAGCTTCGTGTGCTGCCTCAGCTCCATCCCCCATCAGAGGACCCACCTTGGGCAGGACCTGATGACCCACGTTCCCTGTGATCTGTGTTGGGAAGACACTGGGCTGGTGGTCATTTTGATTTGGCCCTGATATTCTTTTAATTCATCTTCATCCCTTTAAAATAGACAAAATTGGGGTAAAAAGTCAAGAAATTCATCAAAGGCATCTAAAGCCTCACTTTTTACTAGTGCTTGAAGGGATTCTGGTATTCAGGGAGGTAATGGGGAGGGTTTTGGGGGTATTTGGTGTATTTGTCTCCATCTCTTGGCACTCAAGGAGATGAGCGAGTTCTATCTGTCACCTCAAAACCACTCAGTGCCATTGAAATCTACTCAATCCCACCCAAAATTCCTGGATTCCACAGCCCCTCAGGGTGTGATGTCTTAAGTTTTAGCTTTCCTATTTTTCATATTCTGCACTGCCTAGGTTTGTAGTTTTGAACTTCCTATTAAGTGTTAGTGAGCTCTCTTCACAGAGTAGGTAGACAAAACAATTCCTTTTCTAGCTTGATACCAAGGACAGTCGTTACAAGTTCCAGGCCCAAAAGCATGAAGAAGGGTGGACTGAAGAGAGAAAACAAGAAGGATGGGAATTCATCATCTGAAGCTGTAACTGGAAGATGAGCCCCAATATGCAAATGGACTTAAAATTCTAAAAATGTGAGACCTCATGATCATTTTTGTGACCATTTTTGGTCCATCTTGGGTGTAGCCCTGGCCAGGTTCTTGTACTGCCCAAGGTGTATCCTTTAAGGCCTTTTAATAAACTTTATTCTTAACTCTGTCCAGCCCCTGTTCTAGGTCAGCCTTCTGAAGGCATCAGGTGGAATGGGGTTGGAAGGGGATTGGGTGAAGTGGGATGCAGATCAGGAGGGGTGAGATGGGCATTGGGTGGGGCAGGATCGATGTGATGGAGTTTGGGAGGTGTGAAATGGGGGAAATAGAGCTTGGGAAGGGGGTCTTGATGTCCAGCAGGGATGGGATGGGTTGGGGTTGGGATTGGGGAGGTGAGGTGGGGTCTGGAATGAGACAGCCAAAGTTTGGGGATGATGAATGGAGGGGGAGCCCATTACTGAGTGAGGTTTTGTGTGAGGTGCCCCTGCCCAGGGAGGCAAGGATTGAGTTTCAAATGAACATTGTTAAAGTGAGGGGTGTGGGCAAGAGTGAATTCCATCCCTCAGCCTCAGAGGATGTGCCCTGTGAGCCCAGGAAGAAACTCCACCCTGGACCCCTCGTGGGGTGGCAGCCCAGGGATTTCTGATTGGGTTTGGGCCCCTGGGGTTTCTCCCTTGCTGTGTTCCCAGTGGTCCCTGACCTTGAACTCCACCCTGGTTCTCAAACCCCATCTCCCTGCCTCTGTTTGGGGCTGTCTCTGGATCTGAGTTTGTTCCTGAGCTGAATAAATGGTTTCCTGAGCAGAATCCCATCTTGTTGGTGTCCCATGCCTGTTCCTGGTAACTGTGGCTTCCCTGGACATGATCCTGCAGCCCTGGAATGCAAGGCTCTGCAAACTGGAGACCCGCCCTTGACCCCCTAAAAATCCAAAAATTCCCTAAAATTTGCCCAAATCTCCCCAAATTCCCTTAATTTCCCTAAACTGGCCTTTTTGTTCCCTCCACTGCCTCCACAGACGGTGTCTTGGGGACACCTCCAGGAATTTGCAGGGGGTCTCTCCTCCCCTGCCACCCCCAAAAAACCCACTGCTTCTGGGAAAAAAATTCCCCCAAATCCCTTTGATTCAAGGGGGAGTTCCCACATTTTTTATGCATTTTTTGGGGGTTCCCCCCAAATTTTTCAGTTTTTTTTACCTTTTTTTGCCAGTTTTTTTTTTGGTTTTGGCATTTTTAAAAGTGAAATTTTTTTGGGGGGGGGTTCCCCCAGTTTTTTGGGGGGGGTCCCTCAATTATTTCCTGGGAATTCGACCCCTCCCTCGATATATCCTTTGTCCCCCTCCCCCCAAATTGGGTTGAGGGGATTTTTTTTCTTTTTTTTTTTTTTCTGTTTTTCTTTATTTTTACCTTTCCCCACCCTTGTATTCTTTTTTCCTCTTTTAATTTATTTGTACTTAATTGGGGGGGCTCAGGGGCAGGAATTTTGGGGAGGGGTCACCTGGGGGGGCTAGAAAATTTGGGGAGACACCCATTCCCCCAAAAAACAGGAAAAATCACTGCAATTCTGGTGTTTTCCCCCCCATCCCAAGGTGTGAAAAATATGAAATAAAAAATTTACGTTCTCAACTTTTCTGGAGATTTTTGGGGAGGGAGTTGCGATTTTGGGGTGGCGGGTTGGGGAGGAGTTGCTGTTTTTTTGCAGGGGAGTCTCCCAGGTTTTGGGGTGGAATTTGGGAATTTGGGGGAATTTGGAGGTTTGGGGGAAAATTTGGGGTGTTGGGGAGAAACTTTGAGGGTCCTGGGGGAATTTTGAGGTTTTAGGGCAGAAATTTTAGGATTTTTTTTGTAACATTTGGGGGTAGGTGGAGGAAATTTGGGGTGTTGGGGAGAAACTTTGAGGGTCCTGGGGGAATTTTGAGGTTTTAGGGCAGAAATTTTAGGATTTTTTTTGTAACATTTGGGGGTAGGTGGAGGAAATTTGGGGTTTTAGGGAGAACTTTGGGTTTCTCAGGGGGAGGATTTGGGGTTTTGGGAAAGAAATTGGGGTTTGGGGGGGAAATTTGGTGGTTTTGGGGGAAATTTGGGGGGGTGGGGAAATTTTGGGGGTTTTGATGAATTCTGGGGTTTTGAAGGGAAATTTGGGTTTGGGAGGAAATTTGGAGTTTTGGGGTGGGATTTTGAGTCTTGGGTGGATTTGGGACTTTGGGGGGAG